GGTATGCTCGGTTTATCACCCTTTTCTCTCCTGCTGATCTAGACGTTTCCTGTCTCGCGGACTTCCGTCCGTGTCCCGATCTCGTATCTTTTCGTTTCGGGCGGGACGTCGCGGGAATTTTGTAACACATCAGAGAAAAACGTCACAATATATGTATATATATACTTATCAGTCGAAGTTACATATTGTGCATTGATAACAATTGCTAGTCGCGCAACGATATAAGCGTGAACTGCATAATTTATAATTACTGTGCATTGATAGCAATTGTTAGTCGCGCAACGATATAAGCGTGAACTGCACAATTTATAATGTAACTTATCTATAGCAAAAAATATGAAAGAATATTAAAAATTTCCTAAATTCTGTGATACGACAATAATACGACAATAATACGACAATAATACGACAATTGTTACGGAATTTGGGAAATAGTAACCAACCAGAGTAGCGACTTTAGATTGGTGCTGCTATGTCGGGCCTGCGCGCGCAAACCTTAGTTTCTCTACTTACGCATAAGGTGACACGAATAAACCGAGCATCTATGTGTTGTAAGTAGAAAAAAAAAGCTGGCGCGCGCAGGCTCGACATAGCAGCGCTGTTCCAGGTTATTCCTTTCGCTAAATGAGTGAAGAAAAGGAAGAGTTCGTTACGGAAACGATGAGCGGTACAGCGGAAGGTTCGTACATAGAATTATTTTCGATGTATTGTTTATTTAGTGTTTATTAATTAATTGTTATTTTATTTCTGACTAGTTAATCGATTTAATTAATATTATCATTAAATAAGTATCGAAAAATTGGCGGTAGAAATTCATCGATTCTTACGTTCATAAATACGTAGAAATATTTAGATAAAAAGCGATCGACTAGTAAAGTTTGATAATAATTTATTTCAAAACATAAAAGAGCATGTGTACACACACGTATTATATACTATTATAATTTTATTTATATACTCTAGAGATCGCGTATTTTTGTTATTATTGTAGATAAGCACAAGTTAATTAGACGAAGTCAATTATGGCGTTCTCGCCAAAAAACAAAAGCCAAACTTCGACGATTACTGAAATGTATGGCATTGAAAGAAAATTATTCTCCGACAGAAATAATCGTAGAAGCCGAAGTTGAAAATCCTGCAGAACCATCCTGCAAAATCCTTAAAAAAACACCGCAGCCGTCAACATCACAGCCACAATCAAGTAGTAAAGAAACAACACCGCAACCATTACAGCCAATACAGCCAAACACTACATTATGTAATCGAATCAAACCTGCTCAATTGAACAAGGTAATAATAATATTTCAATATTATGTAACTATACAATGAATAATCATATCATATCTTAATATATATATTTCTTGTGTGCGTGTGTATGTCACTGAACTCCTCCTAAACGACTGGACCGATTTTGATGAAATTTTTTGTGTGTGTTCAAGGGGATTTGAGAATGGTTTAGATTCACAATTTGGTCTACTGGAAAATGTTTTTTTA